TTCCGCGATCGACGTGTTGCAGCACCGCTGCTCTAGCAAAGCACGAAGAGTTCAGAAACGATATGAAATGGGGAAAAAAGGTATTCATTAACTTATTAAGTCTTGTTTTAGATTGTTCTTGAAAAACTAATCGGTCACGGCTGATTAGTGGGTGAACTCACGGCTGCACAGTGAACCCGTTGATTTTTTACAGCAGACAGCTGCTCCCCTCTCTTGTACTGCGTACCCCCGCTACATCTTTTGGGGGTACGCCGTACCCTGCCGTACCCCCTTACTTTCACCCCTGCCTATGTATAATCTGAAACAATCTGTTTGCAGATTGTTGACAGACTTTTAAGATGTACTGTGCCAGTTACTAAATCCACATTTGTCCCATTAGCAGCCCTGAAGAAATGCGAGAATTACTGCATCAAATGGGGCTTAAAACAGCTCTGATGCTGGAGAGGATGGGGCAATTTCAATCTCCTGCACAACAATCCAGCCCTGCACCTGAAAGGAGTTCTGTCTCTTCTCCCCCCACTGTAGTCCAACCTTGTAACACTGCGTTTCCAACAACTGCATCATAAATGTCATCTGCACCACCTAGACGCAACCTGCCTGTTCCATCTTGCCACACCATTTCAGCGCCAACTTCTCATATCCAACCTGCCTCGACTTTCCACTTCCAAACGATTCCACCTCGCCACACTGTGCATCAGTCCCAACCTGACAATGTTCAGGCCCACTTGTCAAGGTCGTTTCGGCCCCAGCAAGGAGGAGCAACCAGTGGGGTTAGAAAAAGCGGGAGACCCCATGGACACATATTTTCATTTGTCTGCCTGAGGTCCAATCCAGTCTCATGCCCACAATTGAGGAGACTCGCCATTACTCAGCTTGTGGATTGGGACAGAAAACTGCGTGGTTCCCACACAATGAAGGAGACCACGCATTCTTTAGCGAGCATCTCCTCTCTGCCTTCCCCCCTCTTAGGGATGCTGGTGGGTTTGTCCTGGTCCGTGGCAACGGGGCTGCTAATTCTCCTTTTAATGTCTGTGACAGATTGCCAAAATGGATGAGAGTAGTCAAAGACAAGTGTCAATAACAAATGTCAATAACTTGGAAAAGTATTGGAACTGCTGCCGATACCACCAGAGGGATTCAGCCTGAGCTATATACGCTCAGCTTGTACAAGGGCTCCCTTGTATGTATGTCCCCCTCCAACGAAGCCTTTCCTTGAGGCCCCCACCAGCTGATGAGGTAAGTTTTTACCTTTTCAGAAAGTTGCAGGTGTGATTTATGTTGTATGGACATTCAAGCTTATTATTTTTGTTGCAATGTGTGTAGATCCCAAAAGTGATCTGCCAGTCCTTACTACCACTTTGTGACTTGGCTGATCATATTCAGGAGTGGTAATAATGACCGTTTGTTTTTTTTAATTTTTTTAAAGAAATGCAGATAATTGGATTAGATATTTGATCATAACAGATAAATGTGCTCATTATGCATTTATTAAAGCTACATTTCTCATTAAAGTAACATTTAACTTGGTTTTTTTCTCTTCTTTCCACAGTACACGAGAAGAATCAAGGAACAATGAGTGTGCCCCATGTCCACATAAACACATTGAAACAACCAATTTTTGTAAAATTGTATTATCTTAAAATTACCCATGCAGTTTTTTTCACACATGGATGAGGAGCTCGCCATGACCTCAGTTTATCGTTGTCAAAAAACAGAGACAGCACTGTTCTATTTACCAAAATACTTTTACAAAACTAATTTTTTTCTACCTTTTCAGCAGGAGATGGCACCTGTGCAACAGTAATGTTTATTGTGTTCACATTAGGAACAAACACAAGAGCAAAACATTATGTAAACCCGTTTTTGTTTTTTTTGCAGGCAGTCAATATTAGATATAGAGGACGATGGAACAGCTTTGGGTGTGATGACAGTATTTTAATATTTTTTTTTATTACTTGCTGTTTGCAAGTACTCAATGCGAAGTCCAAGAACAGAACCCCGCATTTGAGGTGGAAGCTGTTGGTGCACCCAATGGTGTTCTAAGGCAGTGCAGTGGTCCAACCTATTTACCACCACGGACCAGTCAAGGCTTTGCAATTTTACTGCGGCCCGGGGGGGCGAAGTGGGATGGGTGTGTGTGTGTGTGTGTGTGTGTGTGCGCGCGTGCAGTAAAATTGGAAAGGATTTTCAAAATAAAAGATCCTTCAGACTCAGATAATACATTAAATGGAAATATTTAATTATTTCTTGTGCGGCCCGCTACCAATTGGTCCACGGACCGGTACCGGTCCGCAGCCCGGTGTTTGGGGACGTTCCTCCTTCAAATTACTAATAACCTTTTGGTGTCACAGTGCTCAAAGGCACATCTGGGAGCTAGAGGACACAGTTGAACTTAGCACAGAAAATTAAGGGACCATCAAGTGAGTTTTATGCACAATTGTATTTATTTAAAATATGACTATATGTGGCAATGCATAATTTCTTCTTACCCATCATCATTTTTGATGATTGGTAAGATCATCTGTTGCCTCTGTTAAGATTAGCCATGTACAGTGATCCCTCGTTTTTCACGGGGCTGCGTTCCGAAAATAACCCGCGATAAGTGAAATCCGCGAAGTAGTTACCTTTAGTTTTTACAATTATTACACAGCATAATTAAATACTCTACATTGAAACCAAAGAACAAAACCTGTTTTCAGGTCAGTGGATGTGCGTGTTCATCAATCGGGCCTTAATGTGATCTGGAGTCATGTCCTTAAAGCGTCTCCTCCAACCTGCACCGCGAGATTCACAGCTGTTCCTACGGCAGAGCGATGGATCTCGTCAAGCGAGCCTCTGGTCAGGTTTTGCGCTGATTCTGGCCACAGTTTTTTCCAGTAGGCATTCAAAGCTTTCAGCTTTCTTCTCCTGATTGGCCAATCTGTATTACTTATATTTAAATACCGTAACGTTACTGGTACACAAATAGAGAAGGAGCTCGGAGGCTGTTTAGCCAATCAGGACGCAGAACACAATGCACTGTGGAAAAAAACTGAACAAAAAAATCCACGAAGCAGCGAGACCACGAAAGGTGAACCGCGTTATAGCGAGGGATCACTGTATTGTATATTCTGAACACCTAAAAGGACAGGTCTTTTTACAGGTTTAAAGACTGTCCTTGAAGATCTACAACAAGGTGTTCAGAGAGGTTCAGCCCCCATCCACAATTGTTTGAATGTGTGCCGAGAGTTCATACTGGAAGGTTCTTTTAGAGCTTCTAGACGAACACGCTTCAACCCCCTTCATTGATTGACGGTTATGTTTGTGGATGGTGAAGGACAAAGCGAGGGGGCTGTAGACGATGGTGGTCCCAGTCACGAATTCTTGCGACTCCTAGTAGCAGCACTGCGAGATAGTCATTACTTCGAAGGGCCAGAGGGCAGCAAAAACCTTTCCCTGGTACCCCGGGGTATGTAGCAATGCAATGAAAAGACTAAATGTTTAAACGTGAAGTAATTATATGAAATAGAAACCATTATTAAGTGTTTACTTTCTTCAGTGAGCATTACTCCTGTAATTGGAGGTTATTGTTAACTTTGTCTTTATGTTGCAGGTCTACAGTTTGGGGACTATAAAATCATTGGGCAAATGCTGTCCTTGGCTCTTCTCCAAGGAGGCGTACAGCCCTCTTTTTTGTCTGCAAGGCTATATTCCCTGTTGTGTGGTCAACAAACGGGCCCAGTGTCAGTGGATGAAGTTGGTGACTGCGAACTGCGCCAGCACCTGGAGAAAGATTGGCCAATCTTATCCTCAATCTTGTGTACCTCAGCAACTGACAGACCAGATAGATAGGTTTGACTGATAAACTTATAGATACCTAACCAGGCAAATTAGCTGCAAGAAGTTAACATTTTGTTTTATGCCTAAAATATTTCGTTGGTGCAATATTGTTGTCATTATTGTTGCATATTATTGCACTGAACCCTTGTAGGGATGACGTCTGGTGAAATGCAGCATTCAATTGTTGAGGTTAGCAACGTATATAACCCAACACAGCTAAACCTTACAATAGGGAGCTAAGGACTAAAAAACTTTGTCAGTAATCCCCACAATTTGTAAATGTTGTGAAGAAGCATTAAATTGAACTGTCTTCTACATAGCTCTGCCTGAGTTAAGGTTTGTTGCATGTTCTTGACCAAGCTCTAGTTCTAAACCTATTGCAACCTTTTATTAACATTAAACTGCATTTTTGGAGAAATTGCACTTTTTTCCTTCATAAAAGGTGTTTTTGAAAATGTTACAATAGTATTTGTTCATCAGATTGTAAATAGTTTTCTTTGTCTTTTCTCATTTTTCATGTACCTTTTTTTATTAACAAAAGCATTTTTGTGAAATTTAACTTTTTTCTTCAATAAAGGTGTTTTTGAAAATATTTTTTATTTGTTCATCAGATTGTAAATAGTTATATGTTCACAATATTAAAAACATTTTCTTCATGAAATTTGTTATTATTTTGGCATATAATGACACATGAGGACAAAATATACTAATCACAGCTCTCAATAGAATAAGGTAAGGTAATTTTATTTATATAGCACATTTTCAGCAACAAGGCAATTCAAAGTGCTTAATAAGTGAATTGTTGACTGGAGGAGAAATATTTTTAAAATTAAATCTACATGCAACATCAACATATCCATAAAGTACGGTGGCCGACAGGTGCAAATGCGCAGCAACAGAGAAAACATGCAAACAAACAAAACAGAGACGAAAACAAATGAAAAGCAGCAAGGCTTAGCTTTAATCAGTCAAACCCATTTGCTCAGGAATAAATTGAATACTTTAGTGAACCAAAAAATTGTACAGCTATTACCTGGCTTAATATCTGTTTCACCTCCACTCATAGGGGAAAACTAGCGGGAGTTTTTAAAACGATTTGCCAGGAGACATGGGTTCTCTTTCGGTGTGCCAAACCTGGAGCGCCCGGCCAGCTGACAGCTGGCGAGGGGAGCTGGCTGTTAATGCAGCGGGAGCAGATCTCCGAAAACGTCGGAGCAATATTGTAATTTAGTGATTTATTGATGAACTGAGCAGATATTTCAGATCTATACATCAACATTCTCGCCTAAAAACATTGTAAAAAATAATTTTGTGTAATTTTAAGTGTAATACAGCAAAAATAATTTTGCCACCATTGCTGCTTTTAAAGGATCCAGACCCTAAATTTGGACACTGCTGTTTTTTGTTCGACTCCCTCTAGTGGTCTGGAGCACTTAAGTTTTCAGCACTTTTTGTTTGCATCTTTTCTTTTGTTTGCTGCATTTCATTTGTGGTTGTATTCTCTTTTGTTTGCGTCTTTTTTTGTTTGCTGCATTTAATTTGCTTTTTGTTTGAGTCTATTTTTATGTTTGCTGCATTTCATTTGTGCACATGTCTTCTTTTTTTGCATGTTTTCTCTGTTGCTGCGCATTTGCACCTGTCGGCCACCGTAATAAAGCACTAAGACCATAGACATCAACCAAAGTCACATAGCAACGACATAGACCAACAACATCTACACATGTGACTTCTACTTATTTTTGACAAGTACGCAATAATGTAAATGGGACTTTTAGATGGAAATCGCTTTAACACAGAAGGTTTATTTCTTTCAATCAAGTTATATTTTGAAATGAATATTGGTTTAGAACACGATTGAACTGTGCTACTTGATTCGTAGCACAGTTAATAACAGTTAATTGTTACAGGCTGGTGTGATTTGTTCTGACTGTGCAGCTCACATTACTGGTACTTTGTGAACAACATGGGATCTAGTGGTAGCCTCGGCATCTTAAAACAATGACGGCTAGACGAGATTGCTTAACAACCAAATGATAGTCGGTGATAATTTTTTCCTAAAATATTGTGATCACAGAAAACCTCAAATGTGCACTTCAGCTTACATTATTGCTGCTGTTTATGCATCATTGCCGTTTTGTTCTTTTATACTCAGATGTGAACTGGAAATAGCCTGTAGCAAGTTGAACTACGGACGACGGTGTTCTTGCAATGAGATGCAAGAACACAGATGTTAAACTTAATTTTCATTTGTGGCTACAGAAATTTATTATTTGAATTGGAAATATGAGGGAATTCAGAAAACTGATTCGTTACGTTCGAAGTATTTTTTTATTCAGGCATCACCATAGCCACCTATCCTTTGTAAACATTGATTTGCGCTTAAAGCTGCTACTTTCCATCACAAGTGCAGACACCTTATCACAGGTTTTACACCGTTTATTAAATATTAACCAAGAACACCATTGTCATATTAAAGTAATCATTGACTAACAGGAATATAGCTACCCGTTTGCCGAAAATGGCTTTATGTTCAAAATGAACGAACACATTTGGAGTTAAAATATTAGCTTTCTTTCCGATTCGCCTTCTGAGAAAACCCGAACTGAGAAAACAGAAGAAATGTTCTTACCATTTTCTTTATTTCGTGGACGTGCAAAAAGGAGGCAACAATTTGTAAATACGTAGATTTACAAGACCTCCTCCTTCGTCCTCGAGTTTTTTTATTGGTTGTTGGCAAGTAACGTTAAGAATGCATTACTGCCACCTACTGGTGCGGAGTGTGTTTCATGAGAATTAATTTCTATCTGTCGTAAAAATATATCCACACATTTATAACTACTATATACAATTTAATTCTATGAAACAATTTAGTTTTCTTTAAATCTGATAATGATTTGCATATGTTTGCCTTTTCCTTAACATTTTCAAGCTCTCTCCTGATATAGCTTCATTTTCATATTTATGACATTCTAATATAACATGCTCTATTGTTTCATATTATTCACAGTGATCACATTTACCAATATTGTACTTTTGTATTTAATGATTATCTATAATGTAAGATTGATATTTTTTTCTTTTTTTAATGATATATCTACTATTGCTTCTGGTAAAATCCAGGGTGGTATAACTGATTGTGTTGTTTGGCTAATTTCTAAGCCAGTGTTTCTCAACCCATGTCCTCACTGCCCCCTGTCCTGCATGTTTTAGGTATTTCCCTTCTGCCACACACCTGAATTGTATCTCTGGGTGATTAACAGGCTTCTGCAGTACTTGATGGTCATGCAATCATTGGAATCAGCTGTTCTGGAATAGAGATGCATCTAAAAAATGCAGAGCAGGGGGGCGGTGAGGACCAGGGTTGAGAAACACTGTTCTAAGCTATTCATTTGAAATTAATTTTTTTCTTTTTAATTAAAACATCCAAAACTCCTCATTTCTTTTTTTTTCTTTTTTCTTTTTCCAAGCATGGATTTAAAATTTTCCCTGTTGGATGACCCAGGGTATTTCATATTTAATTTGCTCAATTCATGAAAGAGCAAATGGAGGGAGCCAATTCTAACATTGTTTTTTAGTTTTGTGGAATAATGCCAACCTACTCCAATTACCATACAAACATGACAGAAGATTATAGCAGCTCCCTGTTAAAAGGCACAGGAGAAGGTTTCCAACATTTTCCAGTTCATCTAATCAAATAAAGATTGAGACTGAGAATTTACATCCTTTAACAGATTTAAGATCTTTTCCTATTCATTCATATACATGGATTGGATTAAAAGAAAAAAAAAACACAATGGGTTTCTTAATGCACAAAGACAAGCAAAATTCAAACACAAATAATCATTTCCAAAACATAAACATTCAATCAATCAGAAATGGACACGGCACAAAAATCAATATCATGGTATATTGAGCAGTTCACTTCAATAACAATAAATGGACAATACCAATATTGCCGCCTCAAAAATAAAGAATGTGACAGCATAAATACTTCCCAGTCAGTTACATCTGAATTCCTCATCATTCTTCCTCCACAGGCCCCTCGTTTACCCCAGGTCTGAGGCGTTTTAGAGGAAACGCTCTAAAACAGCAAACATAAAAGTGTAGCTGAGGTCTTTTTAAATGTGAATGAGACATTTTACGTCTGACGTCGGAGAGCGTGTATTAACCCACAAAAAAATTTCTGGGTTCATACAAGCTAGAAACGAACATTTTGACTTCTCCACTTTCAAGTTCTGAACTTGCACTACAAAAACAATTTTAAAAAAGGCAGATTAACAAAAATGGTTAGCTGAATGTTTAGCAAGGCTGCACAGTGGCGCAGCAAGAAGGTTCTGGGTTCGATTCCTGGCCCTGGTCTTTCTGCATGGAGTTTGCATGTTCTCCCTGTGCATGCGTGGGTTTTCTCCGGGTACTCCGGTTTCCTCCCACAATCCAAAAACATGACTATCAGGTTAATTGGCCTCTCCAAATTGCCCCTAGGTGTGAGTGTGTGTATGCATGGTTGTTTGTCTCTGTGTTGCCCTGCGACAGACTGGCGACCTGTGCAGGGTGACCCCGCCTCTCACCCGAAACGTTAGCTGGAGAGGCACCAGCAACCCTCCCGACCCCACTAAGAGACAAGGGTGTAAAGAAAATGGATGGATGAATGTTTAGCAGTTCCACAGCAAATACTGTGATGCAAAAGACAAGAAAACATAACAGAGAATAGAAGAAAATGAACAGACTGAAAAATATGATCCAAAAATAATTTAAAGATGTATATTCAGCATTTTTTTTTTGCAGTCCTAGACACTCAACATACATAAAAAAGTGGATTCTGAAGATAGGTCCCCTTTAACTCAGTGTTTACATTCTGTGCATCACACAAACATTTCCCCTTGTGTACCTTGGATAAACACATGAGCTAAATACACACCTTTGCTACAGCTCAGTCTGGACAATACATGAAATATGGTAGAAAAAAAACAGGCCTTGCTACGAAACCATCAGTCACTTTACTAAGCAATTCTGTAAATCATATTAAACGTTTTAAGATTAAAAGTGAAGACTGTTGCCTTAAATGACAACATGAATATTTCACAGTGAACTGATGCTCTGCGGTATGAGTCATCATAAAGGAGTTATTTTTTGTCTAGTGTGAATGTTCATGTGTGTGTTTAAATGTGACTTGCGCCTAAATGTATGTCCACAGAGATCACAGCAGAAAGGTTTCTGTCCTGTGTGGATCCTCATGTGTGAGTTTAAATTTACTTTTTGGCTACATTTGTGTCCACAGAGATCACAAGAAAAAGGTTTCTGTCCCATGTGGATTCCCATGTGTCTGTTTAAGCTTGATTTAAGGGTAAATCTATGTCCACAGAGGTCACAACAGAAAGGCTTCTGTCCCGTGTGGATTATCATATGTCTGTTTAAACTTGATTTTTGACACGATCTATGTCCACATACTTTACAACAGAAAGGTTTCTCTCCTGTGTGGATTCTCATGTGAGTGTTTAAATTCCGTTTTTCAAAAAATGTTTTGCCACAGACTTCACAGTTCACCTTCCATCCTTTCTGGGCCTTTCTTTGTGAGCTAACATTTTTGTTCTCTATTAAACCTACTTCTGAATCTAGTTTGCCAACAAGGTCTCCATTTGACTCAGGAGCTCTGTACTGAAAACTAAGGACATGGACTGTGACTGGAGGGGGGGCAGAGTCTGACAAATGTTTAATCTCAGGGACAGAATACTTTACATCGTCTTCCTCTTCATCCTTCATGGTGTCTTCATGCTTGAAGGACCTGGAACCACCTTCAAAATCTTCTGTCTTGATAGATTCTCCTTCATTCTTTACTTCTGGAAGTTCTCTGTCTTTAATTTGGTCTTGATAAAGACCAGCCCCCTCTGAGAGCAGAGGGGGCTGTTTGTCATCCTCACTCTTTATGCCACTTTCTATCTCCTCCTTCACTTTGAGTAGCTCTCCCCTCAGACTGATGCAGACTTCCTCGTCTTCCTCCTTTATGTGTTGGCGTTTTGGGTCATACAGGTCTGCATTAGGTTTTTGGTCTTCTGGGGCTTCTTCTTTAACCACCAGAATCTGCTTAACATCTGCAGAAACATTGAAACACATTATGCATTGTAGAAATTATCTAAACTGCTGCCTGGACTATTAACATTGTGGAAATAAATACTTGAAAAAATATCCTTAGCCTCCAACGACTACACCTATGAATTACCATCGGAGAATTCGCACATTATTTTGAATCAAAGTGTAAATTTCAGTCACATCTCTGACTGATATGAAGATGTAAGAGAGGCACTTTGCAGACACATCCACTGAGCACTTCATGAAGTTAGTCAGAGTGGGACACTGAGCGTAAATTTAGCTCACTGACCACTGATTGACGATAGAAATGTGATGGCTGCTGAAGAAGGAACAGCTTATTCAACTCTGTCTTATCATTTAAGATTTATTCCTATTCATTCATAGATATGTACTGGGTAAAAAATAAAGGCAAAATTGCTTTTTTAGTATTTAATATATTTGTTATTTCAAGTCAAGTATTTATGCAGGGAGATTTATGCTTGTATATAAAGGGCAAATATAATAGTGTAGCTGGTGGTAGGTCTCAGTGACCACACCTCATCTTGCAAGGGATGGAGAACAAATAGCCACACATAATATTGACTTTAATAAACAAATTAAAATACTTGATTACATTTGCTTTATTCAGTAGTTTTCCCACATGTATTGAGACTTACCCATGACAGTGGGCTCCAGGTTCACACAGACAGACCGAGGGATATGATTTCCAGAACTGGTCCTGATGAACATGGTGTTGGAGGAATCTGTCTTGTCTGTAGGCATCAATAAGTCCGACTGGATGCCATCTACCAGGTAATCCGGCTCCCAACAACCAGCGTCAGTCTGAACACCAATATAACATGTCATTTGGCATCAAAGTGGGACACTAAACTCATTTGGCTATATGATATAGCCAAATGAGTGAATACAGAAAAGGCAACATAACAAATAATTATGATAGAAACATCTGGGAATCGACCATTAGCCAATAAAATCAGCTTGCTGCACTGATGTTAAATATTTGCTGAACATTTGCAAAAAAACGTGGCTATGAAAAGGTGAAGCGGAGCAGTTGAAATTCAGCATTGATGGAAAGAAAAGCTGAGGTCGATTCAGCAAGAAATGTGACATTTAAAGCTACGGAAGGAGGAGATAAAAGCCTAGGTGGAAATTTTTATTGCCAATTTTGGCAATAAAAATGTATTGTATTGATAAAGTAAATAATGTTGCAGATAATCCATTCATGTAAAAAATAAATATTAGTTATTTGACTGTCCAGTGTGACAAAGTATAACAATATCACTCATTTAATTTTACATTTTATTTCTAGTCTTATTTTATTAATAGTTTATTTTTTAGCCAACCGCTTTTATTGTATTTATTTTTACCTTTATTAATTTTTTATGTCACTTCTTTAAATGATACATTTTACTCATGTTTAATTTTTAACTAATCATTTTTATTCTTTTTTTAAATCAATGTTAATTTATTATTTCACTCTTAAATCATAAAATAATTTATTTTTTCTTCGTTGTATTTAGAGATTAAGGTGCAAAGGAGTAAATAAATGGTTATTAATAGTTGGTCTGCAGAAGCTTGACATGCCGCTAATTTGTTGTCTCTCTGACTTTATAGCTGGATTTTAGCTGTTCTCTCTACCTGTTTGGTTTCCTCTAACTCATCTTATAACAGTTATAAGGGAAAAATAAATTTGTAAGAACTGGGATGGATTCAGTAAGCAACTGCACTACTTGTGAGATTAACTATAGTTATAGTCCTAGCAATGTTAATTAACAATGTTTATTGCTGTTCCTCTTAATCTTTTTCACAGCTGCATCTGAGACTTTCTCTTCTTTTTCGGTTCCATGATCAAAAACATGTCGACTCCAACTGTAGCACACAAACACTGACAGAAAGGTGCAGCTAATAAGAGTTCAGCTGTTACAGGCTGGTGTGATTTGTTTTGACCATGCAGCTCACACTTCTGGCACTTTGTGAACAACACGTGTTGGGATCTTTGCAGCAATGCTTGATTAGATTAACAGCCAAATGAAGGTCGGTGATGAGTTTTTCCTGAAACATGCTGCTCACAGAAAGCCTAAAATGTCGACTTCAGCTGATAGCTGCTCGCTCTTCTCTTTAAGTTCAAAACATATTCTTTAAAATGTATTATATAAACTGGAAATACAACAGCACCATGCAAAAGGTTGTGTAATGTTGGCAGTGTTTTTAACCGGGCACAGACACAGCTGCCTATCCTTTGTAAACATTGCGTTGCAGAACTGCTACTTTCCATCACAAGTACGTGCAGTCACTTTATTACGTATCTTAGATTGTTTAATAAAGGGTAACTAATATCGTCATTTTAAAGTAGTTATTGACTAACAGGCAATATAACTAACCCGTTTTGCCGAAAATCGGCGTTATCTTTTTGTTCAAAATGAGCGCGCGAATTAAGGGAGTTAAATATAATGTGTCCGATTCACCTTCTGAGAAATGTAAAACTGAAACCAGAAGACTCATTCTTACCATTTTCTTTATTTTGTGGTCGCACGAAGAGGAGGTGAATATTTATAAATATGTAGCTGTACAGAACTGTTCTCTGCTTCTTCTTTTCCTCCTTCTTCTTCTTCTTCTTGTTGGAAGACTGCAGACCACTTCAGAGGTGCATACCGCCACCTACTGTACACCAGCGTGTAACTTCATATCCTCCACCTGCTATATTCAGTTTGGGTTTTGTATTCTGTAATTTTTCTAACTTCATCCCATCTTTTGCCGTATTTCTATTTTGTTTCCTCTATGGAATAAATTTATCTTGCCATGCATTTATGGCCATTTGAGGGAACTAAACAACAGAAAGATAAACGGACTGTCATCAGGCCCAGGAACCTCTCTTCACATTAAGTGGGCACTGTGTTTGAGGCGCCACTGATACTAATATTGTCAATGATGATCTAAATTCTAAGCATAAGTGTTGAAATTCAGACAAAAGCATTGCAGTTCTACTTTATGTAGACCAGAAGTGAATTAATTAGATGTGAAAGGGGAATATTTAAAGTATGAAATATACACTTTAAAGCAGCTCCCTGTTATCAGGCACAGGATAACTTTTTCAACAGTTTCCAGAGTTGAAAAAAAATCTAATCACATAAAGTGTAAAATATTTATATTCTTACTGAATGGATTCAATGTCTTTTTTCTGTTAACAGACATGCATTGGATTAACAAATACAACTTTTTTTTGACAGAATGAAATGCAAAGTTCAAACTTAAATAATTATTTTCAAACCATAAACATTCATCCCAAATGTGTTAACATTTCAAACTCCCTCAAAGCTAAATCAACGAGTTAAAAAACATCAGAATGGACACAGATCCTGGTTCCGTTGACTTTAGCCCCTTTTGCACTGTAGAGCCACGCATCCAAGTTGACCAAGTTTAACTAAAGCTAACGAAAACTGAAATTGAGAAAACATTTTTAACTGAAATTAAAAAAAGAGTAATTAATGAGGGAAAACAATAACTATTAACTATAACTGCAAAGTAATTTTACTCAAAATTATAAAGAAACCATGAAAAAAATTCCTCAAGTAAGAGTAAAAAATTATTTTTGCAAAAAGTCTACTCAAGAACTAAATAACTGATCAAATTATCAATAATTTAGTATTTAAAAGTTAAAGCAGCAGACTACAAATTAAGTTTCGTTAAATATTGGGGTTCTAAAGACTGAAATTAAAATAATTCATATAATATATATGCAAAGTAAGAAAATCAGGCAAAAGAAACATTTTTCCAAATAAATTTTCTTTACATAAAACTTTAAAGTTTTGACAAAAACTCCAGGTGTGTCTGATTTTGGTTAAAACAGCTTGTTTTTCATTCAGTGAAGTTACTCAGAGCAGTGGGTAGAGTATCCAGAAATTTTATTCAAGAGAAGCAACACTTTATCATACAATTACTCAAGTAAAGGTAAAATATAGCATAGTAAAATACTCCTAAAAATATTTTTTCCAAAAGGTAACTCATGTAAAAGTGAGTAAATGTAACTAGTTGCTGCCCAACTCTGTTAATTAGCAACCAAAGACATCCTAATCATATTGAAGTAGTTATACTAACATATTATTGTTCAAAATAAGCACGCAAAATTTAGTGAGTTAAAATATCAGCTCTATTATACGTTCTGAGAAAACAAGCCAAGCTGAGAAAACAGAAAAAAATTCTTTCTTACCATTTTCTTCACTATGCGTTTCTGTGTCGAGGCTTCGAGGCGTGTCCGGTAATTTTAGATTTGAATGAAGCGCGCATGGAGGCGGGTTGATGGAGCACGTGGTGACGTTTAAGCCTCGTGGACGGGCCGAACCACATGACTGATTCAGGAAGTAGATCGTCAGTTTGCTTGAGAATCAAAATAAAGGACAGGGATAAGTTGTTTGTACCCCAGTTATATTTTCGTGTTTTAGGATATTACTTGGCATGCATTTGTAGGTCACTTGTGTGCCGTTTTTTTGCGTGCAATGGATCAAAATTGCCCTGTCAACATTTTGATATCAGCTAATGAAAAGCTTCGGACACAGTAATTGTAGTGGGGAATGTTTGTCAAACCAAGAAAATTGACCCGCAGTTCTTCTTGTCCAACTTAGAAAGGTAAATAACAAAAACAAAAAAATAAATAGTTATGTAAATAACCACCAAAATATAAACTAAAAAAGTTTTAACTAAGTTAAGAAAGAAAGTAACAAAAAATACACTTATAGATTTTATTGTGTGGAATAACTCAAACATTACCCATTCACCATATAAACATGACAAGGTATTAAAGAAGCCCACTGTTAACATCCCAGCATAACTTTTCCAACACTTTCCAGAGTTGATCTAATAAGATTGAAACAGGTAAATTACATTCTTACTCAACGTCTATTTATTCATAGACGTGTATTAGAAAAACAACAAAGAAGAAATTTGTTTCTTACAACACAATTCAATGGAAAATTCAATCATTAACATTACCCTCAAAGCCGGAGGTACTGCAAATATTTCAAAATCCTTCAACACGAAAACAGTCATCAGAATGGACACAGAACAAAAATCAATATCATGAGGACAAATGGGCAATAACATTAACTCCCCTTCACCCTACTAAAATAAAGAATGAGGTAGGCCAGCATAAATATGTCACAGACAGTTACAGTGAAAAAGTTCAAGAGGTATGAATACTTTTGTAAACCACTGCAGATTAAATATGTGACAAAGATGACTTAGAGAAGGCTAAAAATCTACCAGTTATACAAATAAAGAGATGTTTGTACTGCTTGGATTTTCATGTGTCTGCTTAGGATAGATTTACGGCTAAAATTATGTCCGCAGAGATCACAACCGGAAGGTTTCTGTCCTGAATGGATTTTCATGTGTGTGTTTAAATTCTGTTGTTTTTTTTTTAATAAATGCTTTGCCACAGTCTTCACAGCTAAACTTCTCTCCTGTTTTGACCTTCCTTTGTGAGTCGCCAATTTTGTTCTTTGTAAAACATTTATTAATATCCAGCAACCCTGGAGACGCCATTTCTGAATTTGGTTTCCTAACAAGTTCTCCATCTGACTCAGGAGCTCTGGCCATGCCTTTGGTTTTTAGTCCAGAGTCTGACAAGTGTTTCAGCTCTACATCATCGTCCTCTTCATCTTCCTTGGTGTCTTCACACTCTAAGGACATGGAACCATTTTGATGATCTTCTGTCTTGATGGATTGTCCTCCATTGTTTTCTTTTGGAAGTTCTCTGTCTTTAATTTGGTCTTGATAAAACTGTGAGAGCAGAGGGGACCGTTTATCATCCTCACTCTTTTTGGCACTTTCTACCTCTAGTACATTTGTGTCCACAGAGTTCACAACAGAAGGGCTTCTGTCCTGTGTGGATTCTCATGTTTGTGTTTAAATGTGCTGTTCGGCTAAATTTACGTCCACAATAGAAAGATTTCTGTCCTCTGTGTTTTTTCATGTGTGTAGTTAAACTAGATTTCTTGTTAACACCATGTCCACAGATTTCACAACAGAAAAGCTTCTGTCCTGTATGGGTTAACATGTGTCTGTTTAAATGTTGTTTTTGGTTAAATCTATGTCCACAAAGATCACAACAGAAAGGTTTCTCTCCTGTGTGGATTCTCAAATGTCTATTTAAATTGGATTTTTCAGTAAATTTATGTCCACAGAGGTCACAACAGAAAGGTTTCTGTCCTGTGTGACTTGTCATGTGTGTGTTTAAATATGCTTTTCGGCTAAATTTATGTCCACAGACATCACAACAGAAGGGCTTCTGACCTGTGTGGGTTCTCATGTGTGTGTTTAAACTAGATTTATGGTTAAAGCAATGTCCACAGATTTCACAACAGAAAGGCTTCTGTCCTGTATGGATTAACATATGTGTGTTTAAATGTTGTTTTTGGTTAACTCTATATCCACAAAGATCACAACTGAAAGGTTTCTGTCCTGTGTGGATTCTCATGTGTGTCTTTAAATGATGTTTTCTAATAAATGTTTTGCCACAGTCTTCACAGGTAAACTTCTGTCCAGTTTTTATCTTCCTTTGTGAGTCACCAATTTTGTTCTTTGTAAAACATGTCTTAATATCCAGCAACCCTGGAGACGCCATTTCTGAATTTGGTTTCCTAACAAGTTCTCCATCTGACTCAGGAGCTCTGGCCATGCCTTTGGTTTT